GTTGGCTCCGTTGGTGGGGGAGGATGCCGGTCAGACCTGGCAGACCCAAACGTGTAGTGAGGGTCTGCTAGGAATGTCTGTCAGTCTCCCATCAGGCGGAGCTTCAACTCAAAACTCTGGGGGAACTTCGAACACGTTCCGAGGGAGGTGGGGGACATTGAGTCAGAGTGGGCCGTGTTCCGTGCCTCCATTGTCGAGGCGGCTTACCTGAGCTGTGGCAGTAAGGTTGTCGGTGCCTGTTGTGGCAGCAACCCTCGAACCCGCTGGTGGACACCGGGAGTGAGGGATGCTATCAGGCTGAAGAAGGAGGACTATTGGGTCTTTTTGGTAAAGGTAAGGTAAAGGTGCTTTATTTGTCATCAGTGTATGTTTCCACACAATGACGAAATTGTGCTCTGCATTTAACCCATCCACACCCAAGTGGAGCAGCGGGCAGCCATGTGAGGCGCCCGGGGAGCAGTGAGGGTTAGGTGTCTTGCTCAAGGACACCACGACATGTGGGTATGGCGGGGAGTCGAACCTAAGACTTTCAGGTCCCAAGCCGGCTGCTCTACCACCACACCACAGCCGCCCCACCACAGCTGCTTTTTGCAGATGATGTGGTCCGATTGGCTTCATCAGATCATGGTCTTCAGCTCTCACTGGAGCGGTTCGCAGCTGAGTGTGAAGTGGCCGGGATGAGGATCAGTGTCTCCAAATCTGAGACCATGGTCTTGAGCTGGAAAAGTGTAGGGTGCCTTTTCAGATTTGGGGAGGAGGTCCTGCCCCAAGTGGAGGAGTTTAAGTATCTCGGGGTCTTGTTCACGAATGAGGGAAGAATGGAGCGGGAGAGCGACAGGCGGATTGGTGCTGCGTCTGCAGTGATGCGGGCGCTGTACCGGTCTGTCGTGGTGAAGTGAGAGCTGAGCCAGAAGGCAAAGCTTTCGATTTACCAATCGGTCTATGTTCCTACCTTCATCTATGGTCACAAGCTTTGGGTAGTGACTGAAAGAACGAGACTGCGGATACGAGCGGCCGAAATGAGTTTCCTTCGCAGAGTATCTGGGCTCTCCCTTAGAGATAGGGTGAGAAGCTTGGTCATCCGGGAGGGACTCTGAGTAGAGCCGCTGCTCCTCCACGTCTAGAGGAGCCAGTTGAGGTGGCTCGGGCATCTGGTTAGGTTGCCTCCTGGACGCCTCCCTGGTGAGGTGTTCCAGGCATGTCCCACTGGGAGGAGGCCCAGAGGAAGACCCAGGACACGCTGTAGGGACTATGCTTCTCGGCTGGCCTGGGAACACCTTGGGATTCCCCCATATGAGCTGGCCCAAATGGCTGGGGAGAGGGAAGTCTGGGTCTCTTTGCTTATGCTGCTGCCCCTGCGACCCGATCCCGGATAAGCGGCAGAAAACGGAGGGACGGACTTAAATATAATTTTAATGTTTCATTTTATGCTCTGTGCTCTGAAAGGTGAAACGTGAGCTCTGACTGAGCTCTAAACCCTGATTAAAACCTATATCTGTCCAGATGTTCACACATTTAATGCAACTACTTTCCTAAGAATATGTGAGATGAATAGGAAATAGGATACAAGTTTGTAATTTTCCAGAGCTCCTGAATTAAGATCATATACCGTATTTACATGCGTACAATACAGTTTGAGTCTGGTTGGTGTGGGATCTAGCAGATTTGTTGTTTGGATGAAAACATTATTTTTCACATGATGTAAGATGATTTAAAGCAAAAATAAATCCAAAACCCTGGGAAACAACTCGTCTACTGCCATTGAAGAAAACAGGAAGTGATTCAGTACGTCTAACATCATATGCGCCGCCTCCTTCAAAATAACCAGAGCATACGTCCTGCTTTGATTAATGATAAAAATAATAACAACAAAATAATGATGATGGGTGTTCTTGTTTTTTCAGGTGGTTCGAGATAAACGCACTGGAAAAACCAAAGGTTATGGTTTTGTCAGCTTCAAAGATCCCAACGACTACGTCAGAGCCATGAGAGAGATGAATGGTTAGTTGTTTTCTGTGGGGTTTGTGTTGTTCACTTTGCTGGAAGTTGTTTTTTTTCCCCTTTTTTCAACTCTAAAGCCTCATCTCCATTGCCGAGTTTCACTCTGTGGTTCAGGTCAGTGTGTCCCTCACTCTGTGGGCGGATCATCAGACTAAACTGTCCTGGTTTTATTGTCCGGTAGTCAGACCTTATTTTCTTTATTTGTTGCAGCGGTGTTTATAAGTGCGTGCATAACCGTGGGCGGCCAGTTGGTCCAAAACCACCCAGGACCACATACAGACACGCCCTTGGAGGCGGGGCTTAAATGTTCTTATGGGTTTGTTTTACCTGCATGTTTGACATCGTCCTGCGTGTTCTTTGTGTTTGCTCAGGGAAATATGTCGGGAGTCGTCCCATCAAACTGAGGAAGAGCATGTGGAGGGACCGCAACATTGAAGTGGTTCGCAAGAAACAGAAAGAGAAGAAGAAACTTGGCCTCAGATAGTGTTCGACCCCCAGGAGGTGTGTGTGTGTGTGTGTGTGTGTGTGTGTTATTTTGACTTTAACCACGTCCTCGTGATGCTCCGTGTCAGCTCTGAGTTTCCGGGTGCAGCTGGTTTGGTTCTTGTTATATCGCTGCACAGGTTTGTAGAGTGGGACCTCTTTGGGCAGCAGGTACCAGGAGACTCTGTGTTTTTATGGATCTTCCATGCTCAAATAAAATAAACTTTCATCTTTAGACTTTTATTTGAGATAAACTCCAAGTAGTTCTGAGGCTTGTGACTAAAATGTAATTTATGGTAATAAACAACTTTTGTTTTTGTGGCTTGTGTTACTTGGACATATTTCAGTTGATTTTGTATTTCACAAATAAAATAAAACACAACTTTTTTTGTCTTTATTTAGTGGAATGAGGTTGAACAGTGATCTCAGCTGGAAGTATTCAGCAGCACTAAGTACAGATGTCTGTTTTCAGCTCAGGTAAGATCAGCGATAAAACAAAACCCCTAAATATACTTAAACCAGCTAAAATAGGTTTAAAACAGAAGGAGTACTAAATTTCTGTTGGAAAGGTTAGTTTAATAATGTAACTATATACAAGTTAAAATGTAAGCATTTTCATTTATTTTATAAAATTGATTTTATTTAGTTACTTTTTATTAATGGACTAACTATTTTCTGGTGCTTAAACCTGCAGGGAGATAATTATAGCTGTACTGATATAAGAGTTATTAAACACTATAAAAACATCTGACTTCAGCTCCTCTTTTTATTAAGACATCTGAGTTTAAATTCAGTTAAACTTCTGCAACGTCACCCAGCAGAACCTCTGGGAGAGAAAAGAGTTGATCAGAAAAACAAACCTGATTAAATTTTTAGCCTTCAGCGTCCGTCTCAAAAACAGCAAAACTTAAAAAAAAACTTTAAAGATGAGAGGCTCTAAAGTTTGTTTAGATGAATATTTTATTATGAACAAGCAACAAAGGTTTCAAATGTTTGCAGAAGTTTTCATTTAAACATTTAAGAAGGCATCAATGTCTTGATTTAGCATCAAACTCCACCTGCCAGGACCTCTTGCACAGCTGTTCGTCCACTAAAGATGACATCATTCACAGAGACGCCATCATACGAGGAACCAATCAGGGACAGCGACAGATTATTTTTCCTTATAAAGCTTCGCATGGACTCTGAGGAAAAAAAATATTTATTTTAAAAGTTGTTTCTCAAACACTTTGAGAAAATAAAAGTTTAAATGAAAAGTGAAAGTGAACACTCACCAACCCTCTTAAAGTGTCCAAGATAATACTGAGGTATACAGTCCTGAGGAGGACAGCAAATATTTTATTCTCATAGCTTGTACAGAAAGATGCTTCCTGTAAACATAAACAATGACAACGTGTTGCTGTACCTTGTGAAGAGCCACGTGACTCCAGCTGGGTGCTGCAGTGACTCCCAGCTGACCGCTCACTGCTTCAGTGGCTCTCGCTAAAAGGCTCTCTGCTGTCACGGCTTCTGGAGCGCCAAACACTTCCTGGAACCAAGCTCCGCCCATCATTACCTTGAAGACAGGAATGAGAAGAATCACACGACCAATAAACTCTTTACAACAGTAAAACTCTGTATGCTCATGAGCTGATCTGGTTCTGAACTGATTCTAACTATCCTCAGGTGAACAAAAACAACAGATTCTGACAAGTTTTTCATTATTAAAGGACACAGTTAATTAGCTGAGGGTGAAACAGACCAGCCTGTCTGTGAGGATGGAAGAGAAATATCCTGTTATAAAGAGGTGTACCTGTTTTTCCACAAGAACAATCTGAAACTTTAACCTTATTGTGAAAAAAAACATCAGTAATTGTTCTTTTAAAGGCACCTTAAGAGTTAAAGTTGGGATGATGAACTTTTATCCTGCAAATTAATGCCCTAATCCTACAGATTATAAAGTATCATAAAGGTCCACCTGAATCATAAATAACAGATCCTCAGGTAGTGAGTGTCCTCTACCATCTCTGTGTCTGCTGTTTACCAAGTCAGACACTCATTATATTACATTACATTACATTATATTATATTATATTATTCTAAAGTTTAGCAGATCTTTTATGCAAACACAGAGTTCTACATGCCACTAATTTAAATACTTGTTTTTAAAATACTAACTACACATTAGCTGGTCTCACAAATGACCACAACGCACTAAACCTGAACCTCTGTTGCAAAGTGTGTGTGTGTTCTTGTATTTGCTACCTTCTTAGGACTGTTTCTGGTATACATACAAGATCCTTATGGGGACCAAAGACAAGGCCTAATATGGTGGAACATTTTTGGGTTAGGTTTAGGACCAAGGTCTGAACTGAGTTTAGGTTAGGTTCAGGGTAAGGCGTCAGGCTTAGGCAACTGGAAATGAATTGAAGTCAATGAACGGTCCTAATAAGGATAGCAATACAAACGTGTATGTGTGTGTACCGTCAGTCTGGTGGTCTCTCCATTAGGTCTGTTGTGCTCAGGAAAGGGGACAGAATCATAGACCACTCCAAGCACACCTGGATCTTCTGATGAAGGAATCAGGTGACCAAAACCCTGACAACACAACAAACAGGTCAGCAAGGTTTTCACTGTATTTCTAAAGATAAATATCAAAACTACTATAACATACACAAATTATGTTTCGTAAATATTGCAGTATCCTTTAAAGGGATCCCTGATTAGTTGAAACATTAGACTTTATTTAATAAACATTTATTTTAACTGTAAAATAAAGACTGTAAAAATACTGTAGGCTGTTTAGTTTTATGATTTTTAAAATGAAAATTTAAAAATATATTACATGGATGGGGTCATTTTATTTACATGCAAAGCATTCTGGGTAAATGATGACGTAGATAGGTCCTCAGTATGAGCGAGCTATATCCACCCTGAAGGTTAATCTTGGACAATATCTGACGATCGGCTCTTTTAAATGAAACCAGAGAGCGTTGACAGAGAGGAGAAGGTAGAAGGTAGTTGAGGTTCTTCTCCCATGAAGCAGCTCTGTTGTCGTCCATCCATATTTTCAGTTCCAGGCTGAGTCATTTCTACCTTCTCCTCTCTGTCAACGCTCTCTGGTTTCATTTAAAAGAGTCGATCATCAGATATTGTCCAAGATTAACCTTCAGGGTGGATATAGCTCGCTCACACCGAGGACCTATCCACGTCAT